AGAATTGAAGATAAAATGAGTAAAATGTAAGGTGCTTTTGCAGACACTAAAGCTACACACACACACACACACACACACACACACACACACACACAAGCTATTATAATTTTGTCCTACTCCTTGATTTTATAGATGAGATTGTTCAATCCCAGAGAGATTCAGTGTCTTGATACAGCAAGGTCAAGGGCCAGAACCAGGATCAGAACTTAGACCTTCTGCTACCTAGTTCATTTTCTACTAAATCCTGCTGCCACTTAGAAAACAGAGGGTTGCATACTTCCTATCCCTGTGCCCAAGCACTTAAAAGGTGGTGGGGAAAACATAAATATTTATTTCCCCCAAAAGAGATCCAGGGGGACCCAAGGGAAAATGTTAAAAGTGGAAACAGCTTCTTAAAAGTTGAATAACTGCTAAGGTCTCCCTAATAGCACTTTACAACTAGATCTAAAGGAAACATTCCCCAGTTTAAAGTACATGGACTATTTGAAATTAAGCTCGAATTGTACAAGTTGCAATCCAGTCCCAATTCATGATTGTTATAGCTTTGTGAAAGGAAAAAAATACAGTTGTGGATGTAAAGACTCAGTCACAAGAAGGCAAGAGTTTTATTTCTTTCATGAAAAATGACTCTTACAGCAGTGTAATACAGCCATAATACTTTGCGGTGTGTTCCAGGGTTCAGGACCAAGTGAGAATGGCAACACCTATTAAATAACCCTTACTAGTCTTGCTGCACCTGCATTTTCCTCGGAGGTCTGCTATTCACTGGGTGGGGAGGTTTTTTAGCTTGTAAAAGCTTAGAAAAACCCAGCCTGAGGTAGTTGTGACCTGTAGTAAATCCAGTTTCCAGAGAGGTGCTGTCATTCATAACATTTGTGTACTAGTAAGGAAATGAACCAGGAAGAGACATGTTAATTTCTGCTTTCTTTTGAAGACTAATAGAAGAAAGAGAAGGAGGAAGAGGAGCAGAAGGAGGAGGAGGAGGAGAAGGAGAAGGAGAAAGACAAGAAGGAGGAGGAGGAGGAGAAGGAGAAGTAGAAGAAATAGAAAGGGGCCAAGTTGGTAGGGGTAGAAACTTATTTTCCACCTTTGTATGGATGATAAAACAATGAAGAGGGAAAGGGAAAAAAAGATTATATAGCATGTGACAGTTTCCTTTCAAGTAATCACATAGTAAGGTATAAACCCCTAGTCTGCTTGGAGAAGTTTGCTCAAAGTAGCAGCTGCTCATTAGGTTATAGGCAAACACATATTAGCAGCAGCTGACTGGAGAATACACGTCCATTTCTATTTCATTTCTTTTTTCAAAACAATGTCTACTGTGAAAGAAAATCTCTTTACGTTTGTGACACAATTGGTCCCCTGCATTTTCTTCTGTCAGGTCGTATCCCATGCACAGTGTGACCTGCTGGTAAACATCACTTTACATTAGGGATTTAAAGAATGGTACTTCTTCCTTATTTGGCTAGAAGATGGTAATCACCTGACAAGCATTTGCCTGCTATTCACAAGAAAGAGAAACCATGTGAAATCAAATGCTTTTATTTATTTTACCACTCCCTCTTTCCTTCCCGACAACCAACTTTCTGTAAATGCATGTATCTGACATAATTCCAGCAGATAGTGAGTATTCCACAGCTGGTGAGACTTTTCTTGTTTGACTCTGATGTCTGCATCTTATCACTGTGTGCAAATTATTTAGCAACTGCCATATTATTTATAGGTATGAATTGCACACATTAATCTCATAAATAATTCATTTTGGGGATGTGAATTAACATTCTGCCACAGTTAAAAAAAACTATTTTTGCAAAGCTAATATAGATTGTTATTGTGTATTACATTCAATTTCTTTTGGCCATTACATTTTGATGCCTACAAGTTGTGATGAAAGAAAAAAAATTTAAAACAACTTTGGTTTTGTGTACCCATGAAAAGTGAAATAGAGAGGAGAATGATCTAGATAGGCCAGTTCGGGGCGGGCGGGGTGGGGTGAGGGACACATGAAAATCTTTAAAATATCCAGAGAACAAAGGCAGAAGTGAGAGTCTGAGATTCTAGATTATCCAAAGAATTGTCTCACTTCCAAGATCTTCTTTGGGTATGTGGATGTAGCCATGCTGGAGGAACCTTTCAATGTACAAAGAAAAGGGTTTGCCTTGCTCCTTAATGAGAATTCTGTCACGTGCAGACACTTAACAGGAAATAGTTTGATGGGAAAGGTATTAGCTCTCATCCTAATAGTATGGCAGGCTGTCACCACTGTTTCACCAGTTGGTAAACAAAAACTTGGCTTAGGTACATCAGGATTCGTTTTATAACTTGAAACAAAAACAAAAAGCTCCACTCCCCCACAGTAAGACATAAGAATGTCACTGTGGACCTAACAGAAAGACAGTCTCAAGTTTGTTTGCTAGTAGACTCCTAGGGAGCTGAACACAAAAATCCAATAAATAATTAGCTCTCCTGTGACAGGCTTCTGAATTACTGTGATACATTAATTGGACAAAATTAGCATGAATTAAGGCAAATAAGTATAACATGTAATTTATTACTTACTAAGCATGGTGCTGCAGTGGAAGCCTCAGATTTCCCTTAAGATTGCTTTAACAGCTATAATGCATTCCTTAATTTACTCTGTGGAAAATCAATTTTTTCAGAGTTCATTAAGCACCAATATGTTACAATGCAACTCTCTAGAGCATAGAGCCACAATACATTATGCAAATCCATGCCAGTGTGGCACCAATATGTAAATAGCAATAATACTATTGTCAGCCTCCTATTGATAAGTCTAACAGGAACGATGGTGTCTGGACCTTCTCAAAATCAGTTGCCTGTTTTTACCTATTTGGGAACTCTTGTAATCCAGCATCTTCTAAATATAGTTATGTTTGTTTTAACACACAACTTTTTGTTCCTCAAAGGCTAGTAACAGAGACTTCATTTACTTGGATTTTTAATATTCTATGAGCCTACTTTTCTACTCTTCTATCTATGCCTATCCATTAATTGGCAAATTTTATTGAGCCCTTTATATTATAGCAGAGTCACTTCTTGTTGGCATCATCATCATCTTGATTTGAGACTGTGATTTCATTGATGCAGGGAGTAGTGCGTTGGTAAATATTTAACAACCAGCTCACATCTGACTTTGAAAATGCATCATATGCTTAAGTTTAATATGCATTATTAACTCTTTTCCATCACTTTCTTAAATCTAAGATGATCAACAAAACAACTAATCAAGCTCTGGTTTGTAGCCTTTGCTGATTTCTGAGGAGTGAATGTTTATACTGAAAAATTTAACAACCGCTTTTGAGCTTGATGCTAACACAATCCTGGGTGTGGGAAACTGCTGGGGTGGAATCCTCCTCTACTGACTTAAATCAGCAGCTTCCTTGACTCATGCATTCATGGGTCAAGTGATGGTCCATGGTTACATAGTTTAAGGCAAGATTTGAATCTGTCTTCCTTACTCCAAGCTGGTCATTGGCCCACCATGCTATACTTTCTCTGAGTATCTTACATTTTTTCATTAATTTAAAAGTTTTCCACATAGCCAAAGTGAAGATAATGTATGTATAATCATTTGCTACTAGCAGAGAATTTAAGGAATCATTTGAACCCCCAAAGTTCAAATCAAACCCTCTTGTTTTGAGGCTTAAAGTTTCTGGATGTGTGTATCAATTCTCCACTACACTTTAATTATACCAACACAGGCTGTATCTATAACATTGAGTTCAACATAGTTGAGCCATTTCTACAAGTTCTCCTAATTAATGATTTGGACTGACATCATTAGATAATGTGACTACATGTGAAGAAATGGTGCTTAGGATTTCCACATACATAAATACAGAATACAAACATACGCATATACACAAAAGCCTATATGTATATATTCATGTTGTATCTGAATATATGCACACATATACATATATACAGATTCCTTCAGTGTGGGGATCTCTCAGTGAGGAACTTCCCTCTTCTAATGCAGATGGACAATATTTCATTCATCAAGTTGCAGTCTTCAAGAGCTGGAAGGCACTCAGAGGTTAAGTGACCTTTCTCACTAGACTGCCCCCTGGACCTCTCTACCATGCCCCTGTCTATATCTTTATCTCTCTACCCCATTTTTGGCTTTCTTTTATATGTTGTCTTCCCCCATTAGAATGCAAGCTCCTTGAGGGCAGTGACTGCTTTTTTTTTTCTTTTTTGGTTGTATTTTTAGTTTCAGTGCTTAGCACAGTACCTGACTGTGCTACAGAGTAAGCACTTAATATATGCTTGTTGAATGACAGACTCAAGTGACTTGCCATGGATTTATAGAGCTAGTGTGTACTGACTCAGGCCAGTAAGGTAAGATTTGGACACAGGTCTTCTGGACTCCAAGACTGACCTTTCCCCCCCACCCCACCCCAAAAGACACACTAATGAAATATCCGTGGCCAAGTAAAAACTTGGCCTCATCTTAAGAGAGGAATGAAATGTCAAATTTGGATCCTGTAAGATTGGTAATTAACTGAAGCACATAAAACATAATATCTTTTCTTAGGTCCCATTAAATGCTGACTGCCTTGAGTTGGGGGCTAAAAAATTTCAAATATAAAGAGTTCCTAAGCTCTATGCAGTTTCTACAGAAATAATCTTAGGTATGTGTAGGATTTTAAAGATAAAGGTTTATGAAAAGCATTCAAAAGTTATCAATTGAGTGGTTATGAAATTCACTTTTTTTCTGACTTAAAATGCATTGTTTATGAAAGTGCTTAGGAGCAAAAAAAAAGATGGAGGTGATTTGAAAAATGAAAACAGCAAATTTAAAATGAGAAAATGGGAAAAATAACCAATAATGTCAAAATAAAAGGGTTTTACATTCTGAATACTTTGAGCAGGCCAGGGCCTATATATACATATATATATATATATAAAATAAGAAAATAAATTTTGAGCTGGAAGGGACCATAGAAGTCATCTAATCCAATTGCCTCTTTTTATAGATAAAGAAACCGAAGGCCAGAAATCTGAAGATACTTGACCAGTGTGACACAGGTATTTGGTGAGATTGGAACACCAGTCTGCTGATTCCAATTCCAAGGCTCTGCCTTGATTAAATTGGTAAGTCACCTTGCTTTTTATATGAATGGGTAGCTGATATTTGGCTTACACAGCATTTTTTTTTAAAAAATCCACATCAAATTCTCCATAACATTTATTACCAAGGGGTTGCTTGGATCACTGAGAAATTAAGTGACTTACCTATGGTCACACAGCTAACATGTATCAGAAGGAGTTTAACTCAGACCTTCCCTAACTGCAAGACTGGCCCCTCTATCTACTGTGACATCCCATTTTTACACCACTATTATTAAACACATAATAAATTAATAATAATATAAGTACTCTATAGTTGACAACACAGGGTTTCATTATAAAAAGCAGTTTTGAAGCACATAACTGTCTACTGCAAAGAAACAATTTGCTATGAGAAATAAGATACTTAAAGACTGGGTTTCTCTCTGATACAGTGGTGTTTATGACGAATTATTAAAATGTTCCATAGCCATTACCCTCTTTGAAAATGTTCTCACTTAAAAAAGTAATTTTTCACCATACAGATTATTTGCCAGATGCTCAAATTTTAATCTGGGAATATTAATTTTTAAAATGAATATTGCAAGGACACTAAAAGCCTATCAAGCAGATGCTGACAAGCATACTAGCTATAATGGAAGGAGCATATAAACTTCTCCAGTACAAATTAGGTGAGTAGTTTATATACTTTATAGGCAGTGAAAGTCCTGGTTTATCATGTAAATCCATATCTTGCTACTCCTTATAAATCACAGATTTGACACAATAGACCATAACAATCTGTCATGTAAATACCTTTTGATTCATGCTTTGTTGATCTTACTATCATATTTGTTTATCAAACACATTCACAAAACCTAAGTTATAAAATAAATATTTATGGGCCTTCCCTGGCAAAGTTTAACTATTTGTGATCAACTCATTCTACAGCTGCACAGTTATTGTCATGTCCTGTAAATTGTACTATATACAGCCGCTGTGCAAACCAATATTGTTATCAGGCCATTTGTGATTTCCTCCATACGGGGACCTTTCTGTGACTTAGTAGGTAAGTTCTTAGGAGTTACCTGAGGCTCTTAGAGGTTAAGTAACCGGACCAAGGTCACATAGTGACCTTGTGTCAGAGTAAGAATTTGAACCCAGGTCTTCCTGACTCTGGAGGCATCTAGGTGGCTCAGTAGATAGAGCACTGGGCCTGAAGTCAGCTTGAATTCAAATCCAGCCTCAGATAGTCTCCAGTTATGTGACCCTGGTCAAGTCGCTTAACCTCTGTTTACCTTAATCTACTGGAGAAGGAAATGGCAAACCACTCCAGTATCTTCCCCAAGAAAATCCCATACAGGTTCTCGAGGAGTTGGACATGACTAAAGAATGGAACAACTTCCTGATCTCAAGCCTGGAACTCAATACACAATTTTATGCTATCTTTGAAACAACCATCCCAAAAGGCTAGTAGGGTTCCTAGGGTTGGTGGAATGGAAAGGATGGTTAGAATAAGTGTTCTTAGTTCTAAGTGTTCTAAGTGCTTAGAAAAATATGGTATAGAATGGAGGACAGGACCAGGATGCTATCTATAGAAGTCTAATGAGAAAAAAAAATGACTCTGACAGTGGCATAGATGCATTTTGAAGGGCCCGCAGAGGGATCTCAGCCTTAATGTGACTTTTAAAACAAACCATCTGGGCAAGGTACTTGTTTGGACTCTGCCACCTGCTGCCACTTTTTGGCCTCTCTTTAGAGACTCAAAAGAGTTAGCATCCATCCATCCATCCATCAGCAAGCATTTATTAAGTGCCTACTATGTGCCAGACACCACACTAAGTACAGGACACAAATAATGAAACAATTCTGTTTCTCAAGAAGTCTACATTCTTAAGAGTGAGACACCAAGTACATACATTATAATATAATACAGGGAAAATAAGTGTTGAGAAGGTGCCTGTGGGAGGTAGAAGGAACTCATAATTGAAACTTCAGTTCCAAAAGCGTATCTGAATGAAGAATGTTTCAGAAGCAGCATATTTCTAGTTTCCTAAACGACTGCACTCAGGACTTGCTTGACCATGCCCTAGCTCTTCATCCTAAAGCTCACTCCAGTGCTGAAATCCACACAATGAAAGTGTGCAGCCTCTTCCTCTGATTGGATGACTCTTCTCAGAAGCTTCATTTAAGGAGGGCACCCAGGCTAGTTATGTTTCATTCCTCTCTATGCTGCACTTACTACTTCTTCGATTCCCTTTAGTACTCTCCAACTCCTTTAGCTTCTTCTTATGGGTCATCTGCCCCTGTTAGAATGTAAACTTCTTGAGGGCTGCCACTGTCTTTCTATTTGTATTCCCAATGCTTGACACATCATAAATGCTTAATCAATGTCAGTTGACTGATTGACTTTTGACTCAAAAGAACAAAATATAGCTCTCCCCTAAGGCCTCTCATGCATATATTAAGATCATCAAAAATTCCTTGATAAATTGAACCACAAAGAAAACTCTATTCATTGAATTTCTAATTATTATTAAATATCAAATGAGGCATAAAAAGAGATAACGTGCTTGTCAGAGGTCACCACCATCATGGAGGAAATCTTTTATAAGGACCAGATAAAGAAGAGATTCTCTATAAGTGGTAAGACCCCCCAGAGAGTTCTAATTTGTGTATGATACTATGCTTTTTGCATTTAACCCCAGAACATTACAGGGAATCTTCAACGAGAGCCGTGAGAAATTACCCTAACAGTTCATACAGGGCAAACTAAAGAATAAAACAATAACTATTGTTTACACTATGACATGCCCTTGAAAAACCAGTTCAGTGTGTTATTACATCAATATGTATACTTGAGAAAGACACGGAAAACTGATGATGACTTGGGCCCAGAACTGAATAGGAGGTAGAGTGTAAACTGGATTTTATTTGGGAAAATGTGCAGTGCTTTTAATGATTCCAAGCTGCAGTTTGTGCAGAGACATTTTTTTTCAACACATACAGTTTCCCAGTGATGCTGTAAGATTACAAATCTTGGTACATCACAATCTTTGAAGAATCAAAGTTGGAATCATCTTGTCTGATCCCTTATTGTAGATGACAGAATAGAGATCCAAAACAGTTAAGTGTTTTTGCCCAAGGTCAAATATTTTAGTGGCAGCATTGGGATTAAAACTCAGTTCTTCTTTCTGTGTTCTTTGTGCTACATTGCAATGTTTAATTTTTAAATAAAGAACTGGAAATTTTATAAGAACAAGTATATACAGAATTTTTATAAGAGAACAAATACAAATAAATACAAAGACACTAAATACAAGGTAGTTTGGGAGGGAAGAAGAATAGCAGTTGGGGGACCAGGAAAGGCTTCATGTAGATGGTGGTACTTGTGATGCATTGTGAAGGGAGGTAATAAATTATTTGTATAGAAGATGCAATATAAAAAGTATTTCTTTTTTAAATGACTATTTATTTTAAATATCTTTTCTTTTTAAATTTTAAATTCCAGATCCTCTCCCTCCTTCCCATTCCTCTCCTACCCACTGATAAGACAATATGATATCTATTATATATGTGAAATCGTGCAAAACCTATTTCCACATTAGCCATCTCACCAAAAAAAGGAAAAAAAGATTAAGAAAGGGAGAGAATTATACTTCAATTTGCACTCAGAGTTCATCAATTCTCTCTCTAGAGGTGGATAGCATTTTTCATCATGAGTCCTTTGGAATTGTCTTGGACTGTTGTATTGATCAGAGTTACAACACTCCCGTTGCTATGTACAAAGATTTCCCAGTTCTCACTTCATTTTGTATCCATTCATATAAATCTTGCCATGTTTTTTTTTTCCTAAAACCACTCCCTTCATCATTTCTTATAGCACAAAAGTACTCCATCACAATTGTATGCTATGATTTGTTGAGCCATTCCCCAGCTGATGAGCATTCCCTCAATATCTAATTCTTTACCACCACAAGAAAAGCTGCTATGAATATTTTAGTACACAAAGGTCCTTTTCCTTTTCCTTTGATCTCTATGGGGTAAGATCTAGTACTGGTATTGCTGTATTAAAGGGTATGCATAGTTTTATAGCCATTTGGGCATAGTTCCAAATTGTACTTCAGAATAGTTGGACGAATTCACAACTCCACCAATAGTTCATTAATGTACCTACTTTCTCTTATCCCCTCCAGTATTTGTCATTTCTGGTAGGTGTGAAGTGGTACCTCAGAGGTGTTTTAATTTGACTTTGTCTAATTAATAGTGATTTAGAACATTTTTTTCATATGGCTATAGATAGCTTTGATTTCTTCTGGAAAATGCCCGTCCATGTTCTTTGACCATTTATGAACTGGGGAATGGCTCTTATTTTTTATAAATTTGATTCAGTTCCCTATATATTTTAGAAGTAAAGCCTTTAGGTTTGAGGGCAGAAGGAATAATAAAGGAGAAGAGAATAAAAACAAGAAAAAAGAGTAAAATCTAAGAGGAGGGACAGAGAATACAATTCTCTGAATTCATTTATAGACTCACATTTAGGGGAAAAATTAAAGACACTGAAGAAAAAAACAGAACACTTGTGGCCTGGTATAATGGAAAGAACACTGGATTTATGTGATCTTGAACAAAGTAATTTCCCTCTCTGTGCCCTCATGTCCTCCTCTGTAATTTCATTAAGTTTAGTTAGTGTTCACTAAATGCTATGTACCAGGCATTGTGTTAGGTGTTGGGAATACAGAGGCTAAAAGGAAACAATTCAAGGCCTAAAGGGAGTTTTGTTCTTTTTGGGAAAAAAGCGACATGTACATAGTTTGTGTATGTGCGTATGTATGTGTGTGTGTATCAATCAATAAACATTTGTTAAGTGCCTACTATATACCAGGCACTCTTCTGAGCTTAAATCTAATGGGAGAGGTAACGTGTAAATATATACAAAGCAAGCAATATATAAGTTAATTAGGGAATAATTTAAAAAGGGAAGGTCCTGGGATTAAGAGGGGTTAGAAAAGACTTTCTGTGGAAGGTGGGATTTTTCTTGGGAT